ATACTGCCCGATATTTTCAGTGAAAAATTATCGTTTATAAAGAGTTTCTTTATCAGACTATGGTAGTTAACTAACTACTTAGAAATCTGAAAGAAAATATGTTTCTTTCTTTCAGTAATACTCTTCAGTTATACTTTTCTTTGCAATAAAACACACATGCATTAAAATCCCTTTAATATTTATTATTTTACCACGTAAAAAATTAATTATTGTTTAGGATTAATACTGCTCTAGTCAATGTACAATTTAGTTACGATAACATGTCGTACGTGTCCGCTTCGACATTTAATTGAATGAACGCGTGGAGACACACTTTTTCTGTCATACATTCAGTTAGAAATAATACTCTGCGCAGATGGCGCGCTCTCGCATACACTAAACTCCCACACAATTTCCCATCTAGAGATTCCCTTATTCTCCTTCGAGAACCTTCTTCCTCCTTTAAGAACCAGCTTCATTCGAGAACATCCTCATTCTTCCTAGACCCGTCCTTACGTACGACATCGTCACTGTAACTGTATAATTGTTCGTTTTCACATGACTCGAAGTTTTTAACAGACACATACTGGTATATAGTTGTGCACAATTGTGTAGTGATAGCTCTACGTGTTATTAAGAAGTCCACGAAACGATAATTTGATTAAGATCAAAGATAAAAGTGAAATCCTATATCGCGAACGTTATATTTGATCGATTATATCATTTTATCTGTGAAGCAGACTTTTATAACAATTGCAACTAAAAGTACGATTATTTCACGAAGATGAGCTCGACGCCTCCGTGGAGTGATACAGAAGAGCCTAAAAGTGGCATGGAATTAATTGAAATGGCACGGATCCTGAAGAATTATAACACGTGGGACGCCTTGTGGAGTGTCTTGTCCGAAATTGACAAACTTCCACAACCATTGTCAAAAGAAGACAGGCCTGATTTGCTTGTAATTACAATTAAATCCAATGAAAAACAGTGTTCTATTTGTCTAAAACAATTCGAGACAGGGAATAAAGCAATATTCATGCCTTGTGGGGATATATTTCATGATGAATGCATAATACCATGGATAAGAGAGGTAAAATCAATTGAGTAAACATATAGAAAAATAATATACAAATTGCGTCGTGTTATTAAAGATAAAAATTCCAATTAGAATTGAAATATGCAAGAAGATTTAATTGCTACTATTAAATATTTATAACTTCGCATTTTCAGACTTGCATGTGTCCACTCTGCGGATGCCATTTGAAGATACCAGCTTATGTATATAAAAGGAACTATGAAATGTACAAGAAAAAAGAGAAAGAAAGAGAGGATTTGGAATTATTACCTAATTCTATGTCTAGTAAATGTGTTATATTTAAGTAAAAAATTATTTTTTACTTTATATGCACTTTATTTTTTTATGCAGAGAATTGTCAAAATATGTTGCGCTGAAAACAGCATATACAAATAATATTACTCGAAGTTAAAGTAATAAGCAGTTTATTCATTATCCTTTTTTTTTCGCTCTTATATCGGTGACGACATTCCGAAAAAAAAACGAAGCACCGCCGCCGTCGCCATCGCCACGTGGATGCGACCCTTTCGTAGTTTTTCTCCCTTTCCCATATTTCCCTCCCCCTCGCAATACTTCACCCTAGAGGGGGTTAGTACGTTATCAATTATTTATATATAATATACGTAATAATATAAATAATGTCGTTAATATATCTATAATGATTACCGTTTCTTTAATGATAAACTATCTTGAATGATTCATTTCTCTGCCATGTTCGTAATAGCTAGTTATCTGTATAATCTGTATGCGAGCTTCAAGTGAGATAAGCTACGTCGTACAGAACTTTCGACTCGGTATTCACATAAGATAAAACGAACGGTGAATTTAAATCATTTAAAGTTACGTTCAAATATGGGAATACGTCCGTGATGCGTAAATGCAAACGTCGGGAAACCCTTTTTCGTTCATCGATATAGGTTATAGATTCGACACGACATCGTCTCAGAATCCATTTTCGTCGATTTAAGATAATATATCATCTCAACAGAAATATATATGAAGGATATTTATATAGATCAGTGATATTTAACGTTTTCTTTTTTTTTTATCATAAACTTGCCCATTTCGTATCTCATTCTTTTGACGAAATGTAGATATCCGCGACGTTCGCTCTCTCTCTCTCTCTCTCTCTCTCTCTCTCTCTCTCTCTCTCTCTCTCTCTCTCTCTCTCTCTCTGCTGAAATTACAACTTCATCCTCGCGGCACTCGACGTCATCGACACTGCGATATTGTTTCTTACGCAGCAATATTAATCTATGCTGAAATGTCTGTCAATTTATTTCATCATGTGTGATATCATACTCTTGCATGTAGTTACTTCCTAGGCTCATTTTCATACTGTAACATATATTACAGGTCAATGCGGGAACTTAGGTTTCTCAATTCTAAAAATACTTGAATTAAAAAAAAAATGCTTAGATAGCAGAACTGTTAATCTAACCCCAAATGTTTCACTAGTATCATCTTTGATAGTTACATATTATTCGTTCGTATTATATAGCGTGGTGGTACAATCTGATATAATGGCAATGTACAATATCTTAGATAATAGTAAACTGGCAATTTATAGCAGTGTCGATGACATCGCGTTTTTAACATTAACAGAGGAACGCACTTTCGATGCAACATCGTTTCTCCGCAAGACCCACAAGCCATTGTACATACTTTTTTCTCTTTCATTTCCTCTCTAACGCATACATGCTACTAGTAATATTATTATCACGCGTGGTCTCATTGTTCTGAGCGCCACTCTAAGCTCAACACGCTCATATGTAAATATTAAAATAAAAAAACTAGTCTATATAGTTGCATGTAGAAAACCTATAGGGTATTTTTATGCCTTGTCGTAAACGTTGTCAAAACAACCGAATAATAAAATAATAATATATTTTGACTAGATGATATAAGCTATTAATGCGCATTCTCATTGGCGAGAGTTATTCTTAAACAATAGGAATACAAAATCCAACTAGGATTTTATTTGGGAGCGTGCTCAGATGTGTTCTCGCTACTTCTTCTTCACCTTTTTTCTTTCTTTTTTTTTCTTTACGCCGTATTACGCGTTTCGATCCGATTTGTCATCTGATTTGAAGACGCGAACGCAGCGATCGCAAATTATTTCAATTGTTATACCGGGGGCACGGTCTCTCTCTTTCTTTCTCTCTCTCTCTCTCTCTCTCTCTCTCTCTCTCTCTCTCTCTCTCTCTTTTCTGTCATTCCGAGGGTCATACCTGCGAGGGCGAGATTCATCATGAAGGGGAAAAGAGGCGATGCATTTCCATTACCATTATCAAATATATTCCTTTGTAATCACTATTCCACAAGAAAATCATTCTATTCATTTATTTTTAATAAGCGACGATTTTTAGTAATATGTGGTAGAACATATTTTCTCGCGAATTTTAATATTATATTAAAGATGCAATAAAAGTGTTAATTGCAAAATAACATTTTACCAAAATTATTACTATCGTAAATGGTCTAAGAGATTCAGGATTCATACCCTTCTGTAACAAGATAACTGATGTTTGACGGAATGCTTAATTTTTCTTGGTGAATGGTTCTTATGAATTTGACATAGAATCGTAATATATTAAGTTTACTCTTCATTAAAAAGCTGTTCTTCTTTATACCGAATGTTATCCAGGATATCAAGACGGGATACAAGACGGTGGGACTTTGATGTGATCAAATTATTGTTATCTTGATCGCGATGAAAGCTTAATAAAATACTAACAACAATTAGATTGTATTTACTATTAATTATTAACTTACAATCATAAAACTTATTAATATCGCGATAAAAAGTCATAAATACATTAATGATTTTTTATCGCGATATTACAAAGTTTTATGATTGCAAGTTAATAATTAATAGTAAATACAATCTAATTGTTGTTAATATTTCATTTCGCTTTTCTCAATATTTCATTAAATATGGATGTACAAAAATTTGCATTGTATGTATTTTCAACGTTTTCATATAATCTTACATTACTAAATTTTGTTAATTAGCTTCTATAATATAATTTTTATTATATTTTGAACAACATTTATAATTGTACATTGTATTGTAAACAATTATTATTGTATCATTGAATGTATAGAGAGTTACAATAAAAGATAATGTTAAAAAAGTTATGCAATATGATTGCTAATTATTTTATCGTATTTTGTTAATGCAATATAATTAGCAAAAAATACAATATAATAATTAGATATAAAAATAAGAAATAAATTTTAAATATACTTACCTGCAAAAACGGACTACTAAATTTATTAGTAGCGCTTTTTTTTACGGATGGGTATTATACTTACAAAGAAAAGAGGACCGCCGATAAAATTGGCGGGGGTGGTGGAGGGCCTCTAACTCATTTTTTGTTAAATTAAATCTTAAATTAATGATATATGATTGGAAAAGTTTAAAGTGTATTCAAAGTCTCTATAATTGCTAGTAATTATGGAGACTTTGGAAAATTCGTCTGTAACAAAGATACTCAAATCCAGCAAACTTCAAGTTATACGTAACGTATCTATAATTAATTGTAATTTGTCACAAGAATAGAACTGTATTCATAATAGCTGTAATATATTACGCGTGTTTTATTACGGTTATATTAATTGTTATATGTAATTTGGTATTTGCTGAGAAAAAGAGGACTGCCGTTAAAAATTGGTGGAGTACCTTTACAGATTGATTCATTTTTATTTATTTAAATTTTCTTTACAATTTCAAATTAAATGTAATTTGTTTTTAATTAGAAAAGTTTGAACTTTATACAAATTGCATATTACAATATGATAAAATAGCGCATTGATTTCGCCATGTTTCAGGAGTTCACATATCTGAATATCTATATATACAATATATATATATATATGTGTGTGTTACTTTTAAATTACAATAATTAAATTAATTAAAATTAGATATTTTAAAGATATTAACAAATACACACACACACACACACACACACACACACACACACACACATTTGTTTGGTGCGTTCGAGCTATTAGTACTATTTCTGCTACGGTTTTCTGATTGGTTCATAACGTCTTTAGACTGTACTTAAGACAATCTTAAATATAAGATCTGACTGTGAATACAGACAGAGAGACATCTGAATATTAATTTGATAGATTTTAGTTATTTCATTTCATCAGGAGCACCGCAAAAAATGGATATTGTAGTTTACATCGACTTCTTCAGAGGACAGAGTTATGCGCGACGATCCTCTTTCAGGTTTCTTTGTGTACTATATTCATATACATATATTTATTGCGTAACAATGTATTATAAAAATAATAACTATAAAAATTAAAATAATTTAGGTCTTAAAAAACGCGACAGATAAGACTAACAATCAGTGTAATTACTAATAAACCGATATTTTCAGTGAAAAATTATCGTTTATAAAGAGTTTCTTTCAGACTATCAGGTAGCTAACTACTTAGAAATGAGAATAAAAATATGTTTCTTTCTTTCTGACGAGTAATACTTTTCGGTTATACTCTTCTCTTTGCAATAAAACACATGCATTAAAATCCCTTTAATATTTATTATTTTACAACGTAAAACATTAATTTTTGTTTAGGATTAATATTGCTCTAGTTAATGTAGTTAATGTCTAGGAAGAATGAAGGAATCTATTCTAGAAGATCGTTTCCGAAGAAGATTCTAGAATAAATTAAATGTAAAGTCGAGTTTACGCGCCATCTAGAGTGTGTATTTACAGTACAACTAAAAGAGTGTGTCTCCACAATGTGTTGATTCCGTGTGTTCATTTCTTTATACGAAATCGTCATTGTAACTCACTCAATGTGACTCACGTAACTGTGTAATTGTTCATTTTCACATTCGATTTTTCACGAATTCGATTTTTTTTTAACAGACACGCATCGATATATACAGTGTATTGTAGTGATATACAGTGTGTTGTGTAGTGATAGCTCCACGTGTTACAGGAAGTACCACGCGTTATAAGAAGTGTTCCTCGAAACAATAATTTGATCGATTTTAAGATCGATTTTAAGATAAGAGGATAAAAGTGAAATATATATATATCAACGAATATTATATACTATCGATTATATTGTTATCTGCGAAGCAGACTTTTATAGCAATTGTAACAAAAGTCCGATTATTTCACGGAGATGGGCTGGACGCCTCCATGGAGTGATAAGGAAGAGCCGGAGGATATTATTGAAATGGCACGGTTCCTGCGCAATTTTAACACATGGGACGACTCGTGGAACGAAGATGCAAAACTTCCACCACCATTGTCAAAAGAAATCGTGGCTAATTTGCCTGAAATTAAAATTAAATCCAATGAAAAACAGTGTTCTATTTGTCTAAAACAATTCGAGACAGGGAAGAAAGCAAAATTAATGCCTTGTGAGCATATATTTCATCCTGAATGCATATTACCATGGTTAGAAGAGGTAAAATCAATTGAGTAAACATATAGAAAAATAATATACAAATTGCGTCGTGTTATTAAAGATAAAAATTCCAATTAGAATTGAAATATGCAAGAAGATTTAATTGCTACATATTAAATATTTATAACTTCGCATTTTCAGACTAGCATATGTCCGCTCTGCGGATACGATTTGTCGGCACCAGCCTATATACATAAAAGGAACTATGAAATAAACAAGAAAGAAGAGAAAGAAAGAGAGGATTTGGAATTCGTGTCATCATTTTATAATTGTTTACTAACTATGTTATACATAACTTGTAAAAGATTCATCACTTTATACGAACATTTGATACAAAAGATGACATTTAATAAAAAGACATGACATATACCACTAAAGAGAATTGCCAAAATATGTTGCGCTGAAAACGGCATAATCGTTCGGCATATACAAATAATATTACTCGAAGTTAAAGTAATTGGCAGTTTATTCATCATCCTTTTTTTTCACTCTCATATCGGTGACGATATTCCGAAAAAAATACAATGCGCCGTCGCCATCACCACATGGATGCGACCCTTTCGTAGTTTTTCTCCGCTTTCCATATTTCCCTTCCCCTCGCAATACTTCAGCCTAGAGCGGGTTAGTATATTACTAATTATTTCTATATAATATGTAATAATATAAATAATGTAGTTAATATATCTATGATGATTACTGTTTCTTTAATGATAAACTATCTGAATGATATATTTCTCTGCTAACGGCTATGTTCGTGATAGCTAATTATCTTTCAATTTCATTTCTTTTACGTCAGATAGTCGAAAATTTCTTAAAATTTTTTTTGAGCACATGACAGATCTACAAAGCAAGAAGAAAACTCTATTTTTTCAGTTCATAATTTTCCATATGTATATGTATAACACTCGAATTTTATTTTATTTTTTTTAATGTGTTTTAATGATATCGTCAGTAGTTCGATTATCAATAGAGAGATAATGACTGCAGTAGAAAAAAGTGTAATTTAAGACCGTTAAATTCGGTCGAATTTTGTATTATTATATTTTGTATTTGTATAATTTGTTAAATTTTAATGTAATCAATATTATCTTAACGGATAACGATGCGAATAATGGTGCACAATAAAGACATTATAAATTATGTACTAACTAACATTACGAATTATGTATCTAGTTTTTAAATAATTTAATGTTTTCAATTAATGTACTGAAGATGGTCACATTGTGACCGAAACGTCTACATATTGTTTGAATTGTTTAATAATATATAACTTATTTACATCTGTAGCGTGGCTGTATGCTCTTTTTCATTTAACCTTTGTAATTTAAGATATTGGTAATACAAGATATTACAGTATTACAAGTACGAATACACATTTATGCAGTAATTATATGATAAGAAATCATTTAATAATATATTATCTAAATATTAAAAATATTAAATAGTATCGATTGTCGGTAATTGTAGCAATCGATTATAGATCGACTGAGTCGCCATCATAAATGCGTGAGTTATTGATAATTCTATCGCAACACGCGAGATGTCATTGCATTCGACCGGCCAGAGTTTTTTGACCGCGGCGGGCTCAATCGATAGTTTTTATCAGTCGCGGGACAGGACCGATGGGGTAACTTGTGAGTTTAGTTTTAAGGTTAGGGTTAGTGACTCGGTGACACCGTGGTGGACCGCAGACGCCAGTCCGCGGAGTTTTCGGTGCGCGAGGGAGCGAAGAGGAGCGAACGCGCCGGAACATCGCGTCAAAATCGGGAGGAACGTTCCGCGAGATCGGTCATCGTCACAAGTGACGAATCGAACAGAAAAAAGAAAAACGGCGAGGCGCGCCGTCGCGGTTCCGTGATTTCTGTTTATATCGGCGATCGCGAGACCGCCGCGGGTGGCATCCGCCGCGCGCGTCCAAAAATAGAAAACGGCGACGGCCGCGGGACGACGAAAGGAATTATTCTCTCCCGCGAACGAGAGGAGGATCGCCCCTCTCGAATTGTTTCGGAATCCTGGAGACAGTCGATGACACGAGGCCGGAGCGCGTGACGTGACAACGTGCCGCGATAGTCCTTCGTCCTCTTCCTCCTCCTCCGCCGTCGCCGCTCCTTGTCGGTTTCGAAATCCTCCCGAACGCTTCTCGCGACCGACGAATCTGTCGCTGACCCGCGTTCCGCGTACCGTCGAATCGCGATATCGAATGTCTGATTTCGTTATCGGCGCGGGTTCGTCTTCTCACTTCCCGATCCGATTAAGAAAATAGGATCAGTCGAGATAATGATGAGGTGAGTATACTGTTATCAAAGGAGTAATGGGGTAACTCAATTCTTTGAGTTAAATAACATTTATCATTTGTAATTTTCATGTCTATCAAAACGTAAATCAATCCACTTTTGTGCTCAAATTGCTTGTTAGTTTCAAAATAAACAACGTCCATGTTAACGTGTTTTTTACTTAATAAATAATAAATTAAGTTTGAGTTAAATTTAATAAAATTATTATATTGTCTATTTGTTTAATTGTTTAATAAGGCTGGGTTGTTCCACCTTTCAGTAAACTTCAGCTCGCTGAAGTGATGATTTACTGTTTTGTTTATCCAATAGGTAAATTATCACATAGTTTATCTGAATATGGAATAACCTAGCCCTTAACGCCATTGTTTTACTATTAATTAAATTAGCGATACTTATATTGAGAGTAGAAATCAATAGCGACCTATAGAAATGATTAAAAATAATTTAAATTGAGTATAATTTAAATTATGAACTTAATAAATGATTTAATCTCAGTTTTACTTTTTATCTTATTCTAATTTTAATTAGAAAAAGATAAGGAGTAAATTAAAGCAAAATTAAAGTTAACTTACAGTCGTTGAAATGGATATGAGTCTACTCTAAAAAGTATCGGTATCGATTTAATCATGAATGTTAAATACTCGGTTAAATATAATATAAATATCAACATAGTGTGTGGATTTAATTCTATGTTGGTATTAAATTCTCCGATTGTGTTGGTTGATATAAATACCAGCGTAATGCGGTTTTAACATATTGGTTTTAATATATCGATGTTAAATTTAAACTGGTGAAAGTCTATACACTCATGTTTTTTTAGAGCAAATCCTTACCTTCATTGAAGTTCTTACGGGATACAGCTTTTTTTTTGTTTGTAAGCTCAAAGATAAATCCAAGTAGACTCACGTCTGTAAGTTTTCCAATCAACCAAGACTGCTTGAATAGATTTTGCAAAACGTCCGCTGATAAATTTTGTCAGCAGGAAGGTTATAAATTTGATACAGAATCTTTTATATCAGATTTATTAGATATTGGCGACAGAATACCACGAATTTATAACAGAATTTGTTCACAGTGAGTTGATAACAAATCGATGACAGAAATTGAGGACAGAATCTGCGTTCGACAGATTCTACTCGATTTCTATCGCCAATCTGTTATCAAGTTATATCGACAGACTTTGCCAGTAGAATACGAGTTTAAAGCAAACACAGATGGATAGAATCTGCTGTATTTTTCTGATCAAATTTGCTTTCAATTTGCTAGCATTCTGCGGTCAGTTCGTCCCGGCTACATTCGAAGAGCTGATTTTAGCGCTATTTCGTTTCTATCCTTGTCTAATGAACGATAAAGACAGAATGACACAAATAAACTAATATTAAATCACCACTCTCTCTCTCTCTCTCTCTCTCTCTCTCTCT